GTGGCCACTGTCTTGTAAACTTCTGTTTTTTTGTTTTTGTTTTTACTTCTTGCTCAACCCACGAAATCAGGGGGAACACACAATGGTTTCATTATAAGTGTAACTTCTGTATTTTAAAGTTTTTTATGAGCTTTGAGAGGTGCAAATTGTACAGTGACCACCTCATGAATAAAATAATTTGACAAAACATTAAACCAAGATAGTTAGAACTTGCTGTAAATTTATGGACATAATTCAGGATGACTGTAGAGAGTAAGGAAGATCACCTTGATGGAGATATGCAGGTGCTGTTGCCAAGGCAAAAGGAGCTAAAGCATTTTTTCTAAGTCCAGAATATCCAGATAACATTCAGAAGTGGCTCAGGCAAACACCTCCCTAATTCACTAAACTATAAGACGGAGGACATGGTACAGCCTAATCAGACTTGCAAGATACTCTTATGGCCAATCTCAATAAAAGTAGTTATAGCCTTCCTGCAGAGTTGATTTTATGGTCTGGTCTACATAGTGGGGCTGACAGTGATTGAAGATAATTACGTGCCATCAAGTAAGGGTCTACTCTTAGTGATCACATAGATAGATTTTCTCTGGGAGAATCTATCTTCAACTTGGTCTTTCAGATCTTCCAATGGTGTGCCCATCGCCAGTGTACATCCACTTTGCTGCTGCTCATCCTCTTCTTTTTTCAATCACCTTTCCAGTATTATAAATTTCTCCAGAGAGCTAGGTCTGCATAACATATCTGAAGTATGATAATTTGAGCCTGGTCATTTGTACTGTGAATGAGAACTCTGGGTTGATTTGTTCGATGATCTATTTGTTTTCTTGGCTATACATGGTATTCTCAGGAGTCTTCTCCAACACTAAAGTTCAAAAGCGTCAATACTCTTTCTGTCCTGCTTCTTCAAAGTCAAACTTTGGCTTCCATAGAGAGTCATAGGAAAAACCATTGGCTGCATGATTCTGATCTTTGTATAGACTTCCCAGCATCTGAATATCCTTTTCGAGGCCTTCATGGCTACTCTGCCAAGCACTAATCTGCAACATATTTATTGACTGCTTGTTCCTTTACTGTTGATACTTGCCTTAACTATCTACCACTTCAATATCTTTACTGTTGTCATTAGTTCTTTATATTTAATTTTAGTCCCATGTTTTCACTGTGCTGTTTGGCTTTTATTACTAGAGCTTGCAAATCCTTTGCATTTTCAGCTATTAGAGTAGTATAGCACAGGTTATTGATGTTTCTTCTTCCAGTTTTAAAACCATGTTCATCTTTTTCCAATCCCATTTCCCTATATTCAACATATAGGTTGAATAAGGGGAGAGTATACAGTCTTATCTCACTTCTTTGCCAACTTGGAGCCACCTGGTTCTTGTAAGTAGGGAATGTCTTCTAAAGTATCTTGGAAGTTGATATCTGTCAGCCTTGCCAGGTAGACCAGACAGGAAACACAGCCAGGTGAGCTAATTCTACTTCATGATGTTCTGTCCATACTGTGGCTTCCTGATCTGTATATGATTTCACAAGGAGACAATGAGATGTTCTGGGATTCCCATTTTTCTAAGCACATTCCACAGCTTGATATGATCAACACAATTGAATACATTTCTATAATCAATGAAGCACATGCTGACTCTTTTTTTTGTTTGTTATTCTTGGCTTTCTCAATTATTCAGAATGTATAAGCAATAACGTTTCATGTTCCTCAGCCTTTTCTAAAGCCAGGTGGAACAACTGACATTTCCCTTTCCATGTAGGGCTTTAATGTGAGTTGAATGCTCTAAGCATTATTTTGCTAGTTTGTAAATTTAAAAATGTTGTACAATAGACTTAATAGTTTCCTTTCTTTCACATTGATATGTAGATCAACCTCTTCCAATCTGTTGGCCACTATATCATTCTCCAGATTTGCTGGTATAGCTTGGTTACAACCTTTACTAATTCCTTTTCTGTTACTTGCCATATTTCTGTAGATATTTCATCAATTGCTATAACCTTCTGACTCAGTAATGACCAGAATGGTGATCTAACTTCATCTTCTAGTATTGGAGGTTCTTGTAAGTAGGGAATGTCTTCTAAAGTATCTTGGAAGTTGATATTTGTCAGCCTTGCCAGGTAGACCAGACAGGAAACACAGCCAGGTGAGCTAATTCTACTTTATTGTTAGGCTACATTAACAGAATCTTGCAAGTGTGAAAGTACAAATCTCCCACCATCTCTTTTTACAGCCCCCCTCTCCCTTTTATCTGATCATTCCCTAGGTAGCATCTCTTCCCCCATCTCCCAAGGTCATTCCCACATAGCATTACAATATCTCTACTCTACTGAATTTCAGTATATTCTTTCCATCTTTGTTTGATCTTCTTTGAATCATTTACCATCTGCCCATTGATATCCTGTAGCATATCAGTTTGAGGTTGGAACCTCTTTCTGAGTTTAGAAATCTTTTCAAAGATTTTCCTTGTTTTTCCATGTCTGTTTCCATATTTAATGTCTGTACCAATGCTATTGTAATGCTGCTTCTCATCTCTTCTAACAGCTCTCTAGAATTCTTTGTTAAGTTTCTTTCTGAGATCTCTGTTTTTTTTAGCTTTGGCTTCTCTTTTCTTCTTGGCAATTTCCATGGTTTGTTCTGACAGCCAGTTTGCCTTCTTCTGTTTCTTGATTTTGGCAATCACATTCCCCTTTAACAATTTATTTCACATTCACATTCCCCTTTAACAATTTATTTAAGTTCATTCCATAGTTCTTCTGGTTCCCAATCAATGAGGTTCAGTATTTAAAAACAATTCTTGAAAATGGTGGGTATATTCTCAAATTATGTTGTGGAAACTGGTTGGCTTTCTTCTTCCACTTCAGCTTAACTTAAAATTTGCACATGAGCAATTTGTGATCTGTTCCACAGTCAGCCCCTGGCTACATTTTGCTATAATACCCAAGCTCCTTCACTTCCTACCAATAATATATATAGTCAACTTGATTTCTGTGTATTCCACCTGATGATGTCCATGTATATAGGCACTGTTTTGGTTGCCTGAAGACTCTTAGCAATGAAGAAATAATTGGATTGGCAGAAATCGATTAGCCATTCTCCTGCTTCATTTCTTCATTTCCTAACCATATGATCCAACTACATTTTCTTCCTTAATATTTCAAACTTTGGCATTCCAGTCTCTAACCACTAGCAGCACATCGTCCTTGCATGTTCTGTCAATTTCAAATTGAACTTTATCATAAAACTCATCAACCTTCTCTTCTTCTGCATCAATGGTTGGAGCATAAACTTGGATAATTGTCAAATTAAAGGGTTATTCCCAAAATCTAATTGATATTATATGGTGATTGATTGCATTGTAGCCCAGTACTGTTCTTGTTATATCCTTCCTGACTAAAAAAGCAATGCCATTCCTTCTTTGTTTTTTATGTCCTGAATAGTAAACAGTATGTTTTTCTAATTGAAAGTGTACAATTGTAGCCCATCTCAATTTGCTGATGCCTAAGATATCAACATATAGTCAATTCATTTAATCTTTCACTGTGCTGAACTTTCCCATATTCCTGCTTCTTATGTTTCATGTTCTCAGTATAATTTTGTCTCTGCAGCTTCAGATTTTGTTTTCCTGCATGGCAACATCAGCAGCTAATGTCCTGAAGGCTTTAATCTAGCCACATCATAAACACCATTAGTACTCCCAAAGATCCTCAGCTCTTTCTCAGTGTATGTTGAGTGCCTTCTGACCTGAGGGACCCATCATCTAACACTATATCGTCAATCATTTTATATTTTTTATCCATGTGGTTTTCTTGGTAAAAATACAGGAGTGGTTTACCATTGCCTTCTCCCAACACAGTACGAATTGATGTCTTTGCCAATGTCACTCCCAGCATCTTCCTATATTACTGCTGCCCCATATAGGTACCTGCTTGCTTTAGCTGGGCAGCTGGGATGACCTTCACATCTTGGGTGACCCTGCTGGAAATATATATTCTTGGCATACACTCTTAATGTTCTTTGCTCATCTCTATCGGGAACATTTCCCTTGACATGATGAGGCAGTGCAGCAAGATTTGGGAGGGATCATTCAGGCTACTGTGAAATTAATCTCTTAAATTTTCAGTACATATAGAAAAGGTGAGATCATACAGAGGGGTCATACTGTAATGTTATTTAGCATATCACATGAATTCTATAATATATAATTTCTATCATGCTACAGTATTAATTATAGTATATACAGTAGTACTATCATGATGTTGAATAACACGTTTCTCTATGTGAAGCAGCCTTTTGATTTGTAAAACAGCAGCAACAAAATCCAGGGGGGCGGGGCGGAGGCTTTTGGCACTTTAATGACTTAACAAGACATAGAGCAAAATGTCCTTATTTAACGTAGGGCAAGCCATAAATGGAATCCAAAATATGCTAGACCAATTTAACACCTAATATCCTTGCTTTTTCCCATTTTCTTTCCCTGTAGAGCAGTTTTTTCAAACTTGGCAACTTTAAGATGTGTGGACTTCAACTCCTAGAATTCTTCAGCCAGCACAGTTCCCCATGCTTGCTAGGAATTCTGGGAGTTGAAGTCCACACATCTTAAAGTTGCCAAATTTGAAAAACACCGCTGTAGATGATAAGGGACATGACTCCTTTGCAGTTAGGTCCCTGGCCTACTAGGGAATGTCTCATTCTTTTTTCTTTTAAGCAGTTGCCTACGTAATGTACTTTTCACCTACATTTGGGACACGCGGGGCCCATTCACCCGGGAATTCTGCAGAGTGCTTTCTCAGCCGCTTCCTGTGTCTTGCGTTTTTCAAACGTGTTGGACTGCAACTCCCAGAATGCATTTGGCCAAGCTAGTACGGAACTGCGGGAGCTGAAGTCCAATCGCCTGAATAGCATGAGCTGGGAGGAGCGATGCGCCCGCACCGATTTGCGGTAGGATTTCTTACACGGTGGATCATTGGCAGAGGTGTACATCCGCGCAGGCGCAGTGAGAGGAGGAGAGGCGCAGGCGGAGCTTCGCAGTCGCGGGGCAACTGAGGTTGAGAAGTGGAAAAGGCTCGCGCGTGGTCCAGTTATGGCCGGCCCGGGCTTGGTGGCGGGCGAAGTCGCCGTAGACGCGCTGCCCTACTTCGACCAAGGCTATGAGGCGCCGGGCGTCCGGGAGGCGGTAAGAGTGGCGCGTCGGGCCGGCCGGGAGGCGGGCCCGGGTCCGCTGCGCTTGTCAGAGGAGCTAAGCGAATCGCTGTCCGCTTCTCTTCCCAGGCCGCGGCGCTGGTGGAGGAGGAGACGCGGCGCTACCGGCCTACCAAGAACTATCTGAGCTACCTGCCTACGCCGGACTACAGCGCTTTCGA